ACTAAAAGCTTCTGCTCAGATGTAGGTGTCTGGAAGGCATTTACAGGCAGAGCATGTGCAGGAACCCAGAGATCACACAACTAGGACTCAGCCTGCCAACCCCCGCCAGGGAGCAAGTGCCGGGGGATTATAAATCAAACCCTGCTCAGAGGGGTGCCAAATATTTACATGTGCTATCACTCTCCTAAATAGGAATAAACACCCACTGAAATGCCTTGGAACAAAAGGTGTTATCTTAAACTCACACTGATAGCAGCTCACTAGGCTAATAAATAACAGCGTCCCACCAGAGAGATCTCCTTCAGGAAGGGTCTGTGGGGAAACGGACAGAGCTACGCAGGAGTAAAGAGCGTTCAGGTTACAGGCTTGGAGATAACTTTCTCCTTCACGCGCTGAACCTGGAGAAAACACTCCTGGCTGCACGGTCACGGTCATTCTATAACCTTCTGTCCCAGTTTACAGCCCCGGATGAGTCCACGCCAGTCAATGACATTGCCTCCCTTGTTCTCCTCTCCCTGGTATTTCCATGGTGGGCCTCTCTCGAGTGGAGAGTGATGGGGAAAGGGCAGAGGTGCTGAGCACCCACTGATTCTGCTGAAGCCAACAGGCGCTGCAGAGGCTCTGCAACACCTTTGAAAATCAGCCCCATAGGCACTGGGGTGGGAGGCAGGGGACGCACTATGCTGCTGTGTTTGTACATGAGACTGGTGGAGCTCTCTGGAGACCAAAGGGCCTGCTACTGATGTCAGGTAAGGGAGCTCTCCTTTAGCACCAGTGGTAGAAGCCTGTGTTGTTAGAGCCAAAAGACCAAGGGGGATGGATGAGCAGACTTAATAACATCTTTTCCCACCTTGAATTTCTTTGATTCTATTGACCCTACCAAGCCAGCGGCCCTTGCTCCCCTGTAAGCCTTCTTAAAGCCTGGTCTGTACTTTATCTGAAGGTCTAGTCCCTAGGCTTGGAAGGATTTAAGCTGAGTCAGACAGGGCCTGATTTTCAGAGGCACTGAGCACTTCCAACAAAAGTTAATTTCAGTGGGCGCGGCGGGTGCTCGGCACCCCTGGAAAACAGACTGCAAGCACCAGTAGACGACTGTTTCCTCTTCTGCCCAAAAGTCAATGAAAACATTGCCCTTGTTAACAGTGTAACAAATCATTAGCTGCCCCAAAACCTCATTATCCTCACTATGTTGGACATCAAGAACTTACAGTGCCTGCATAGCTCCACTGCCCTCTACAGGATGGAACTAGACCTGCCTATCTGGGCTTCATAGGCTCTATACTCAGAAAGCTCAATGGGGATCCCCCTTTAGCTCAGGGGGCAGGAGTCTGAGACTTTGGAGCAGGAAGCGCTGAGTTCTATCCTTGCTGTGGCTAGGAAATTCCAAACAGACCCCAAGCACAGCGTTGTAGCAACTGTGATTCAGAGGTGGCCACAGATGTTACAACATAACTCATCACGGCTTACATGACGAGATGAGTCCTCAGAGCCTGGGGCTGATGAGAGCAGGAAGAACACACACAAGGTATGGAGGAGAATAAGCAAGAGACTTTGGCAATGACATTGGCACTGGGTATGAGTGCTCTAAATTCCAGTGATGGAGCCTCAGAGGGGAGCATTGTCCCCAGGCTAGTGATGGACTTGGCCCTATAACTCACAAGTGGGCTGATGGATTAGGTCCATATTCACCCCTAGGCTGGGACTTTATGGCCCCCAATTCAACACAGCTCCTTAAACAAGTGCCTAATTTGTGACATGTGAGTAGGCACAATTGCATCAATGGGATTACTCAGGTGCTTAGAACTGAGCATATATTTAAGTCCCTTGTTGAACCAGAGCCTACAGGAGAAGTTTCATCTATGGGGTAAACAGTCAATTGAGTTACTCACCCACGAATAGAGGTGTCTGCAGTGGAAAGAGTAAGCCCAGGGCACAGATTCCTGCTCTCCCTAGGAAACTCTCATGCAAAAAGCTTTGTTAAAGGATAGCTAAAGGGCAACAGGTGTCAAAACTTATTCTACCTAACACCAACCAAATATTTGTAAACCTCCCTCTTACACTTCAAAAGAAAACCCACTGCAGCTGGCACAGAGAACACTTTCTAAGTGCATGCGGAAAGGCTGGCCGCATCACTCATGTGCTGCAGAGTGAAGCACTGAATGAGATAATGGATAGAAACAAAGTGTTTTCCCCAACTTGCTGTACACTGGACACACACCGAAAGAAACCTACCAGGGACGGGCAAATCTCAAACAATACAGAGGTCTGGATGCTTATCTGGGATGAGCCTAACTTGGTCTAAACTGCTTTGGTGTATCCATTGGGCTGGGAATCTCCTGGGGATGATCATGCTTAGCATTTAGAGTCTGACCTGCATTGGAACCTGGGCTCCAACCCTCCTCAAGCTTTGGCAAAGCTCAGATCCAGGCCCATTTCTAACTTATGCTTTGCCTCACAGTGAGGCAGCTAATGATTATTAGCCCCATTTGACAGATGGGGAAATAGAGGTACAGAGCAGTGCCATCACCTGCCCAAGGCTACTCAGTGTGTGAGTAGGAGAGTCTGGATTAGAACTCAGGACTTCCTGCCTACGAGTCCCTCAGTCAGTCTACCAGCCCATGATGCATGCTCTCCAGAGCAATTCCCCATCTTTTCCTGGTGCTAGCTGGGCCATGATGGGTATCAAACAGGATGAGGTACCTGGACGGGGGATGAAAACTTAAAAAAAAAAAATTAAAAAAATCCCCAAATCAATCAACCAAACAAAAAATTCAAATTAAAAAAAAAAAAGTTTCAGGTTTGGTTTGAGCTTTGGAGGAAGGTTTGAGCAGGTCCTTATTGTACCAGAATGGATTTGGCATGGCCTGGAGATAGAGGGGGAGGAAAAGACACAAAGCACTTAAGCACATGTTCCGATTTAAGCAAGCACTTGAGTCCCATTGAGTGCGGAATGTGTGTAACAGATGGGGCCAGCACAATATGCTCAGTCCTAGGGGATCGGGTAGATAGTGAAAGGTGGGTCTGTTTTCTGCTTAATAGCCAGTGTTATGTTTGAGTCGGTTCATGATCCCACAGCCTCGCAGAAGTAGGGTCGGCACCTTTGCACGCCCACCACAAAGGTGGAATGACGCAGCTTTGTGCATGCACAGCTCATTCGCACCAATCGGTGAAACTACTTGTGCTCTTTCATGTTTTGCCATGAGCTTAAAGATGGGCCCAAGTGGCTGGACCATTTGCTGCAATTCCTGAGCCGCTCGCTGGGAAATGGGTCCTTTTCCTAGTGGAAACGCACCTTTCCGCGCAAGGCGGATTAGAAACACAGCAGGATGTTGATGTGGGAAACGGGACTTCACTGGTTTCTCAGAAAAGCTAAATCAGAGGGGCTCGGAACTGCCGCGAAACATGGCGTGAGAGACGTCCCGGGGGAACACTGCACCCATGTTGCATGGATTTAATGACAGAGTCTGCATCCTGAATACCAGCCGTGCTACAGCACTGTGTGCTCTTGCTCTAGGGACATCTTTAGACAGCAGCCAGGTGTCGGGGGGAGGGGAGGGGTAGTTGGGGAAACCGAGGGATCAGAGGAATCCGACTAATCTGCATTTTCCCCTTAACAGCCTCTTTCCTCTGGACCTCTTGGGGCTACCGTTCAGGCAATCCCAGCAACTGTGCATGAGGCTCAAATTATGGGTAGGGGAAGAGGGATCCCTGGTGGATAACCCTTGGGGAAGGGGCTGAAGGAGAGCTCTCCCTTGTTAAATGTTTCAGTCCCAACTAAATGTCTGACGTCAGAAAGCCCTGGATGGGGCTCACCGTAGGGCATCCCCTGCTTATGATAGTGCACTACGTCTTGCCAGGTCAGACTTCCCCAATGGTGGATATAGCAGGATGCCCAAGCACAGGCATGCCGTGCACTCACAGAAACGTCTTCCGCGATATGATCACTACATGCCACAACCCAGCTGTCTGCCAATCCTCGGAGATTCTGCCCTCTGCCTGCACTCCGGCTTACCTCCCTGTACTGCAGGAACCAGGATTGTAACGAGGCCAGCACACGAGTCTCCTGAGCTCAGGGCTACTCCCAGGGTAGCTAGTCACTAGATAAAGTACCTTACCCGGGTATGGAACGCAGTAGCTTACTCTTGGTGGTGTCACATGAAAAATGAGCAACTGGGGGCAGAGCTCCTTTGACAAGAACTACTGGTGGGCCGATTGGTGTCAGAAGTGGGATTCTGGGGGACAGACAGAGGGCAGCCCACGGTAGAGGGGCATTCCAGTATCTTCCTGTTAGAGTCAGTAATTCTGTGGATGGGTCCTGTGGGAGCATGTAGTCCTCTCCTTTCTCAGTGCTTTGATCTCCATGGTGACAAAGGGAACAAGAGCCAGGTTTAAAATATACTCTGCCTCCTGCTTTTCCCTCGGGCTGGAATAGTAAAAGAGAGAGAGAGAG